GTGACTGTAATTCTTGTATTGGACTAAAAGCTGATAAATAGTTAAGGGTGGTTGAGGGTTGGACTTTTCCTCTATTATGCAGTGTGGCACATTTGTCTGTTCCAAAAGTCATGTGTATGTCTTTGCTGAATTGTGATGTGATCTCCAGCAGTCTGCTTAACGCAAATACCTTTAAGTGGTCCATGTAGAACAAATGGTTCATGGTGTGAAGGGATATCTTTCCATCGAGTGTTATTATTATTATTATTATTATTATTATTATTATTATTATTATTATTTGCATATTGACCATTTATGACCACGCTACACGATATATTTAATGCCCCGGAGAGATTATCGTGTGTAATTGTGGGGATCAGATTTTTACGGCTATATCCCTTGATAAGACAAGATTGTTGCGCCTTGAATTATGAATAATGAGGTGATAGGATGATGTTCCGAAAAGTGTGCAAAATGCGATATTAGTTCTTACCAACACCTATGAACTATTATGAGTAAATTAATGTAATACAACTTACATTCGGATTTTGAATATTAAAACCTGTTTCTTTAATTTTAAGATGAGTAACTTTCTCGTATCAACACGTATTTAGTCGCGGTAGCGGCTTGAATTGTATAACCAAATGTACACTTAATATACCGTAAGTACTACTAAAAGGTAATCAAAAATGAATTAAATGGAATTAACAAATATTGCTACCTGGCAACTCTTATCTATTAATATATTTTCTTATACTGGATGTCCGTTAATGTTCAACAGATTTTTCTCTATTACAGAACATTGTGTGCGCTCTATTGAGCGGCACGAGAACTACTTACACCTCAGCTTCGTGAGATTAAAACCTGTCTGTTTGTGATCTTGTGGTTCCTCTGACTATCCTCCTATAGAATTGATTTATTGTCACTACTTTGTGTAGTGTGCTCTTCATGAGCACAGTAATATAATGTTTGTTTGAGGGTGCCTTATTTCCTACGTTCCTAGTTATTACATTTCAATTATTTCCATGCAGAAACATAGGTTTTGCGATGTTGGTTTGGCCTCGAGTGTTGGATTAAAGTGTTTATGTAGAACTTTTGAATGTAAATTGTGTCAGATTGAAAAATTTCTCCAAACGTACTTATACTGTAATTATTTACACGAAATCAATATAAGTTCTACTATGTTGTAAGATGTGAAGTTATTTCATATTATCAGGCGCAATAAAAGAACAACCCAACACTTGCAAGAATACTTAACAAATAGCAGAAAATACACTTGTTAACAAGGAACGTATACCTGTTAACGTAAGCAATAAAACACGTGGAAAGCATTGAGAACTATTTATATGGCTAACTCCCGAACCGCGCAGAAATTGAAAGAAACCTTTGAGAGATGTTCATGGTTTCCTTAGCTACCCAGGAACCTAGAGAAAACACAAAAACAATGAAACGATTTTGATTTTGGCTGCAAAATGCAATTTTCTAATTAATTCTTCCTTTATAGAACAGTAACTTTTTTTTTATAATCGTTGTATGAAATAAGCTATTGTACTACGAACACTAAACAGTGTACGTAGTACAATATAATATTATATTGTATTCATAAAGTCTACTGTTGTTAAAAATATTAGATTTGTTTCAGTGTATTAGGAGAGTATTTTATTTGTTGTTCTTGTCTAACCTGCTTGGTAGACTACTTTTTGGAATACCATTTGTGTAGTTTATTCGGTAGAACTTTTGTTGCTGCTGGCCATTAATTTGTATGTTAATATTTTGGTTATACAATTGGAAGAAACAATACAGATATCGTATCTACAGCATATACCGTATATAGCTCTCAATATTGCAAAAGTATAGCTGAAAGTTTCGCTGATTCTAACGTAGCAAATGATAACACAGGCACACAAAAAGATGTCAGACCCAAAGATTTGACACATGTTTCTCTATGTATATCGGTACGCTGAATTTGAATCTGAGGCCAGAATTGTCCCATCATCCTCTATTTTGTTTTAAATCGCAAAAAACCTTCGCATTTTTTTGGGTGAGATTGTTGTCAAGCACAAAGACATCATACATGTTTCTCTATGTATTACGACGCACTGAATCCGAATCTGAAGACACAATTTCGTCACCACTCTCCATTTCTTTTTTAATTTTGGAAAAACACCGTGAAATTGTATTATTTTGTTTTGGAGTTTATAGTCAGAGAATGAAACATGCTTCTCTATGTGCCGACGCCCTAAATCCGAATCTGAAGCCAGAATTGCGCCAGCGCCTTACATATTTTTAATTGCGAAAAAACACCGCGAATTTGTAAATTATGAATTTGAGAGTGGTTTTTTGCGATTGAAAAAGCTGGAGGGTGGAGGCGCAATTGTAGCTTCAGTTTCGTATTCAGCGCGTCGACGTACACAGAGAATGTGTGACGCATCTTTGGGTCTGACAACAACCCCCAAAACAAAAAATACAATGTCTCGATGGATTTTTGCGATTGAAAAAGACATTAGAGGGTGATGGCGCAATTCTAACTTGAGATGCGGATTCAGTGCGTTGTAATACACACAGAAACACGTGTCAAGTCTTTGAGTCTGACAAGATTTTTTGCGTGCCTATGTAATTTGGTCCCAATTGTTCTTGACACAGGTTCCAGCCATTTTGCATAATTCATTAATATATACGTCATAAATGTCGCGTACGTAATCACAATTACAATGCGAGCTAGTTACGCGGAAGTTTTTATGCCCGAGAACTTCAGCTAAACATTAGTTCGGCGCGGGCAGTACAGGATTTTGGAAGACAGGAATTCCAATATCGCAGTTTGCAAGTATTCTCTATAAGGAATTACGTATCTCCAGAAAAAAATGAAAGTCGTACAATCGAAAAAAATACGTAAAACTGGGAATTAAATGAAACGGAGAACCTCTAAGAGTTCCTAAACGCGTTTCTTGAACATCTGTATATTTTCTGATTCTATTTTTCCTTTTATAAAGATTACAAATTAGTAATCTGTATAATATATGAAAACGGAGTGTACCTTATGAATATGTAAAAGGAATACATGTCTCGATCTCCACAGAAAAGTAATGCTTGCTATATAATCTTAAACCGAGCAATTTTACTATATGGTAATATATTTACATTAGGAATGGGAAATGTATGGCAATTATATTACCCTGTAAATAAATTAACTAACTTTTCGTGTCAATCGATGTTCACATAACCTCCAAATCCGAAAAAAATACGTTAATTGATTCCTGACATATTTGATATAACTTGAGTAAAAATTAACAATAAAGTTCCAGACCTATATTCGTTTTATGAATATTGTATTTTTCATTATTTCCATGCTCATTGCGTATTAGTGTCGAACTCGTGTTTAATGGTGGCGGTGAAGAGTGCAAGCTATTCATTCGTCGTAGACGACAAAACAGCGAGAGTGACGAGACTCGTCAATCAAAATCCGTCATTGGGTGCCGACACCTGCGGAGTTGAATTCTCGTTACAATTCTTGTGTTACGTCGTTTGAAGCCTCTTGCAAAGCCTCTAATAGTGCTTATACATTCCATTATTCGTAGTAGGAAGAAGTGCTCTCGCTATGTCGGCGACTCATTACACGAGATCCTTTCCTCACGACAATGGTCAGATATCGTTGCGCCATGTTTCGCTTCTGACAGTGTTTTGGTGCCGAGCGTGAGTTGGGGATAAGTAAATGTGTTTTAAGTACAGTAGTATCCTCTTACATTAAAGACAATCAAATCAATTCATACTTTAAAACAATTACTTTATTTGCATCTATTCACTAAAATCACGTTTGTGACCAAATATAGTTGCGTCAGGTGTTCTGTAATACAATGAGTATTAAAGAAATAAAAATATTTATTTCATCATAAAGTGTAAGTATAAATTTAGATATTTTTAATTGTTTAAAAAAATTAATTACACAACATCTAATGATGCTCTACATTGGGTCGCGAAAAGCAATTTTAGTGCGCAGATGCCAATGAAATAATGGTTTTTAAAATATGAATTGGTTTGATTGTTTTAATGTAAGAGGATATCACTGCACTTAAATATATTCAAAAATCCTTTTTGGTCTCCATTTAATTAACAAGTAACAACAATTTTTTTTATTCCGAACGTGTTTCATCGAATATTATCCTTTCAGCCTACATTTCAATGCAGCCTTAAACCGTACGTTTCATACCAGAAATAATTACTACCTTCATTTGATTACCCCATTAAGTAAAATAACATATAGCCTTTAAAACAATAAAGAGCTCTAAATATAACAAACACACGCGAGTCTCGCTGTGATTATGTTGCATTAAATTATATCACGGTACCCGTTGTTCTTTTCATAACCCGAACCTAGCCAGCTTGCGCGCTTTATTATTTAATAAATACGAAATAAAGTATCTGTGCCGTTTACATAGTTCCAATTACGAGTCCCAATGCGAGGACGTAGAGAACCCTGCGAAAGTGCGTGTGTGGAAAATGAAAGGCACAAAGGAACCTCGCCTTGCGTACTTTACACTGCAAACGCACTAACCGAGGAAAGGGTGGACTTGGCAAGGAAGGAGAGAGGCGAAGCCAAAGGAGAAAGAGCAAACCGAGAAATGCAATGTAGTTCGAGGATAATGATTTCCTCACCTCTGCCACTTCACGTAAAGAAAATACTCGAGGGCGCTTAACATGAAAGCAAACACTGGGGCGTAGTTTGCGTGTAAAATGTTAGAACAGAAACTTGTAAGTGTTATTGCTGTTGGCGTTTTTTTAAATGGTGTAGTTCAAACTTTTAATGTAAGAGACGGTAGGGTGAACTGTATGAGAAAAGCTCTTCTCGTTCTGTGTAGTTATTGTTGTGTGCGTTACTAAACGTGGAAGAGGCCTGAGGTTGGGGCGGGTGCGTGGGGGGCGAGCTGGTGCGCGGGTGCGGGTGCGGGCTGTCGGCGTTGGCCACCGCCGCAGTTGACAGATGCTGCTTGGCGCGCTGCTTATCGGGACTGCGCGTGTCAAAACAGATGCCAATGCGCCGCGCGGCCTCGTGCCAACTGCCCCCCCCCCGGCCCCTGCCACCCCTGGACCACCCCATCGCGTGGGCCCCTCGACCACGCTGGGGCAAGGTAGCTCTGGGTGGACGGAGCTGGAACAGCTGCTGGGAGGCGGATGAACGCTTTTAACGATACGGGTTCAATAATCTCTCACGTAACAAATTGATTATTTAACACGATTAAGCATTACATGATAAAGCGTGGCTGTGTGAATGTGAGACTGCATATAAGGTTTGCTTTCAATACTAATAGTATTAGTCCACAGTTTATTATGGTTAACGTCATTAGGAAGATAAACAGCAAATTACAGACGTGGTTGAAGTTTCTAAATCGAGTATGTGATGTGTGTCACTGGTCGTGTTGTTTACTGCAGCTTTAAAAAAGTCAAAATCATAAAAACAAGAAAATGAGAAGACCGGAGCTGGTTGGCATAAGTTGAAATAATTTTTAGGCAATATTATTTTGTTTTTCTTGCTTTGACAAGTTTCAATATAAACATGAAAACATCTATTTGACTATCTTATTTTATCTTTTTATTTTCGACTTACTTCTTACTTACGTAGCAAAAACAAAGTATGTAAATTCTGTGGCAGGTATCAGCGAATTTTCAACAGAAAAATGTTGTGGGGAAGTTCATTACGTTTGCAAGACACGTGACACAAAGCTAAGGCTTATGATAGCGGCCGATAAACAATCGCGAGTGCCATCTAGCCTCGGTCTCCCCTACCATTTCTTGGAATAATTCTCGCCATCTTTAGCTACAACTGGTTTGTTTCGACCGAGTGAAGTGGCTCAGGTCGTAGCGCACTGACTTCCCATTCGGGAGGTCCGAATTGAATCCTCGTGCCGGCCATCCTGACTGGAATCTTGGTGTCCCTCGGACATCCATGCGAATGCTGGGCTGGTTCTTCTGAAAGGCCACGGCCGCAATGCCGGCGTCGACAGCGGGTTCCTGCTTGGGCGAGCGACTGGGAACCCCGAAATCTAACGGCGTCGAGGTCAACTTTCATGCATTATTTTAATTTTTTACGAGGGAGCTTTTTATAGATATTTTTACTTTCTCTCTACAAAATAGTTTCGCTCCGCGAAAAAAATGGCGAAATTACGGCGGAATTATAGCGCCCTGGTAACCAAAAAGTAGATAAATCTAGTTGCTATTTTAGAAAGAAATTCTCTATTGCTTGGTGTAGCCAGAATCCATGTTTCTTGGATCTTTCATACCAAAATGTCCATCCATCCATCCATCTGTCTGTGAACAACGCTAGCGGTCAAACTCTTCACCACTTTTCTCCAAAATTTATATTCCACAATCGATCTGGCTGACGCCCTGATCCTTTGAACTTGAAACCAATATTTTAATTTTGGGGGGGTACGTTACATGAAGCCCCTAAACATTTTGAACATTGTCAAAATTTTCAGAAAAATGGCACTATCGCCTTTGATTAAATTTTGTTGTTGGATAGTGTGATGGACGTTTAAGTGAATGGTGCCGGTCTGATGTTCGTTGAAAAATTCAGTTTTTTCGAAAATTGCTTAAGTTTAAAAGATTTTCAGTGTGTTCCTCCAAGTAAAACAATAAAGATAGATATTTTTCCCTTAATGAAATCTGTTCCTTAAAGATAGATTTTGAAATAAGGTCATGCTCAATTTTCTCGAAAATTTGAGTACTTTTCATGTAATTGTATGTGAAAGTAAGTGCGACAAGTATGTACGTGCTGTTTTAGCATAACTACTTTTCTTAATGAAATCTGAACCAAAAAAGTTAGATCTTTAAATAAGATTAGGTACTATTTTTTGAAAGCTCGAGTATATTTTGCGTACTTTTTGCTTGAAGTTAAGGAAATTTATTGTTTTCTAGAAGGGGCTCGAATATAATGAATAGAGCAAAGGAAACTTAAAAATGGCGAGAGTCTAAATGTTGTTGAACTCCCTGAATTTTCGAAAATTGCAAATGTTACAAATAATGCGAGAAAGTAGTTGATATTGTAGAACCATTAGTTGTTCTTACGGTTCTATCCCATTCATGAACATATGTTTATTTGTACTCACGGTTGAGATCCGTGTGACTGACAGTGAAATGTGCGTGAGAGATTTATAAGATAAGGGTGTAATATAGCTTTTTATAAGTTAAACTATTAAACAAGTAATTCTGATCGTTATATAGTTAGTAATTACTAATTCAATAAGACCTTGGTTATTAGTCTTTTGCTATCTTTAAAGGACTCTTAATTAATCAAATTCTCACGTTTGAATAAAATGTTCCGAAGTAATAAGTTCGTTTCTGATTAAATAATTGGATCAGCTTTGTAGCTAGTATCGAAAATTCGCGACCGTGGGGACATGACGCTAGAACGTTCCAATCTATGTTCCTTGGTCAGTATTCATAGACAAAAATGTTGCTACACACAGTGTTCATACGTGTATGCTGAAAAGAACAACCCAATTTTTTCTAAGAAAGTGCAACTGTCCATTAATAGAGAGACGTTACATAAAGGAACAATGTATTTCCTTTTCCACCATAGCCATAGCTAATTAGAAATAAAAATAATGTTAATCCGACTTCGAGATATAAAAAAATACGCCAGTTTTCTATTTTTTAATTGATGATGTTTTTAAATTGATCATTCAATTCATTTAATTAATATTTACGATAATTATAATTTACGTTAATATTTCTCACATTGTAGAGTAATAATAATAATAATAATAATAATTATAATAATAATAATAATAATAATAATAATAATAATAATAATAATAATAAGACACGTGTTAGATTTTTTGGAGAAACTCCAGAGATCAACTCCACTTTCAAAACACTCGCAACAAGTTATATTAAAATATTACGTATAATTATATTTTTAAATTTATTATTAAACCTACTAACGCTTTAAGGTACAGCGGCTGGTTGCAATACAGAGTAAATTATTATCCTTTTTACTTTCTCACCTTACGAATACTTCGTAAAAAGAGAAAGTTATGTAATAGCCAGAAAACGGAGAATTTAACTTTTACGATTTTACGAATTTTAACTTTTACGATTGGCCGCCTGTGTGAGACGATGCCTTCCCCTAGCGAGGTCCGAACTAGTCCCTCCCCCGCGGCATGCCGCCTTCGTTAACGCGCGGGCGGAGGGGCGAGCAACGCGTAGATGGGAGGGGCGGGGCGGGTCGGCTTGGGGTCATCGAATGAAGACGCGAGAACTGGAGCCACGACAGAGGTGGCGCTCACGCGGGCAAGGGGCGGCGCGAGGGCGTGCGCGGGGGCGTTGCGTCGGGGCGGGCGCGGGAGGGCCGGGGCGAGGGCGCCGGTCGGGTGGGCAAATTGTTGAGGGAAGGGGAGGGGAGGGGCGCAAGCGGCACTGCAGACGCCGCCCCTGCATGAATAATAGACGCTACCTGTTATCTGCCGCAATAAAGCGTCGGCCTCCCCGGCACGCATCAATCTCACCGATGAATTACTCCATGAGCCCGGACGCGCCGTCCCTCTCCTCGCCCTGGCCCCTCTTGCCCGCCGTCCTCCTTTTGCCTCTTCTTCGCTCCGATGGCTGGGTGCGCGGGAGTACGTCGCTGCAATCGGGACTCTTGGACGTGCACAAGTTGAGCGTTGCAAACATTTTTTGAAAACAATGAGAGTTTTGATTGGTTAGTGATTCGGGGATCGTAAACTATCGTTAGTTCGGGAAGTGTGACGCATGTTTCGCGGGCGGCGGCGGCGGTGATCTTTCCTCGCTGGATGGCGAGATTCCGCGCCAGCCTACACGTCGGCTTGCGGAGCTATCCCTGGTCAGGTATCTTCCACCAGAGGGGCACCTCCCCAGACAAGTCAAGCTCTAAGCTCCCGACAGGTCACTCGCCATGTGGGGTAGTGTAGTACATGAACGTGCAAGTGTGCGAAAGTAAGAGGTGAGGATATGGCAAGGAAGAGAAAGGATAGATCGCGCAGAAGTCCCTGGTCCGGTTTCTGAGGGTAGTGCTCCGGCATTCGTCGGATGCTGAATGGGAAACCACGGTAAACCACCGATCCGAGGAGCCAGACGTCTCCTCGAGCTCTGTGGCTAGTGTGAAATTGCCCCTGCCGTGGGGACTCTAGGACCTCCCGCTCAGTGGCTCTTCAGTGAAATCCATTGATCCCCGTGAGCCACCTATGCCGGTCTCAGGTGTCGGAAGATGAATCTGTGATCCACCGCGATGTACAGATTCTGTGACCACGACAGATAGTTTAGTTTGTTCTGCCTCGTCTTAGTTATTCTTCTATCGCCCTCCTTGACTCTTCTCGCCGTGAATGGTCCTCTTTTACTTCGTTACATGTATTTCTTTGCAAGCAGAACACTTCGAAAGGATTTCATTAAAGGTCCAGCGTCTTTACTAACATTAGTTGAAATCAAAATAACGTATAGCAAGGAGTGTTGTTGAACTAGTCTGGAATCCCTGTCTGGAATAGTTTGGAATCAGAAAGGCCCGCTTCTGTGTTTTTTGCGTTGAAAAAGTGCTACAGATTTGATTTACAGTCATGTCCACCAAATAATCAAACCTCCCACTCCTCTCGCATCTTGTGAAACGAGGGCTCAAGAATGTGTACGGATAATACCTCACTCGATCTCAGTAATTAATGTACTGCACTCAAGCTCTCTGATTAGAATCCTAGCCCAAAACTATATTGTTTTTTTTTTGTTTTTCTTCAAGTATACAACACAACACACAAAACTGAATGTCAGCCGCAATGACCAACATAAAGGTGAGGTTTGTGGGGTGCTCTTCCAGGTACCTCGTCCTGCGGGGCAGTCTCAGCCGAGACAACCTCTAAGCCGCCGACTAGTCCTCTACGTACGCGGTGGAGTAGACCTCGTGTGTGCGTAAGGCGAAAGGATATGGCAGTGATGAAAGAGGAAACATCTCGCGTACTCCGTGGTCCGTTTGTTAGGGTACTGCTCCGGCATTCGCCTGGCATTGTCGGAGAAACCACAGAAAACCACCGTTGGGAGCAGCCGGTCAGTGACGGGAGTCCCCTTCAGGCAGCGGCTGAATTCGACGTAGCAATCTCGCTGATGTCGAACACCCCCTCCGTCGTGACCCGAACCCTAGGACGCCCCTATAAATTCGCTGTTGGGACGAAGGCAATACTGGCTCGTAGCTAGACTCAGCCAATATGGAAAGGCCTTTGAGATCTTCAGAAACGTACTGCACCTGTATTTGAATGTCCCATTATTTTTTCATCTGATGTAGATGACATTCAGTTATGCTTCTTCATTACATTTTCGGAATCATTGCAACACAAAACACATGCACGCCCTTCCCCACACACACAAAAGCGAAGCGCTCCCTTTTTCATTCTCCCGTCACCTTGTTATTTTTATCCCTTTATTCTCCCTCGCATTCTGACTTCCTAAATAGCCCGAGGTATATTCTGGCACGGGGCGGCGTTCAGAGGTCCTCCGGGCAACAAAGACACAATTTTCTAAAAGCGGGCGGAATTCACTTTTTGGGCAGTGCGCGATGGCCCCGCAGAAGTCCCCCGCATACGCCCACAGCCGAAATTATGCAATATTTAATTTCAACTGTGTGAAATTTGTAAAGACGAGCGAGGGGGTCAATTATATTTTTAATTGGATGGGCCTAATCCCAGGTCCAAGATAAGCCTGGCGCGAGAGCGCAGACCCCGCGAATACACGCACTGCCTCCGTTGCCCTGCCACCGGCAAAGGTGGCTCAGGCCATCGCCTGTTCTCACTGCAGAGCCTCTGACCGGCAGGTCCTAGGGTTCGGATCCCGACGGTTGCAGGATTTTCGACACTAAACGAGGTCAGCCGCCGTCTGGACGAGAATTGTAGCTGCCGGCTGCTCCGATCGGCATCTTTCCGGGATTCCCATCTATACCCGGCGAAAGCTATCTATATCTATATCCTAATAAACTGGCCACGCACCGCGCGCGATCGTGCCTTCCTCTTCCTTGTCCTTTACTCTCCCCCTTACATACACACACTTTCGCATTCTTCTATACTTGTCAGGAAACCAGTCGGAAGCTTACGTGCTTTTCCCGGTTCGAGCGGTGCCTTGCTGGTGGGAGAAACCGGGTTGCGAAAATCCCCTACGTCGACGTAGTTCGGTGTTGGATCTCGCCATCTTGCGATTCGCCATCTAGCGGGCAACATCACCGACATTTCCCGCGATAAGAATCACGTACTGCAGTTACAGGACCAATGACTGACTAGTCCTAAATCACTAAACAATCAGTCAATCCGTTTTCCTTCCCTTGGCATTTGGCACGAAGTAGCTGGTTGATGTCATCTTAGTCGCGTTTCATTGCACTCCTTTAATTTTAGTATTTTATCAATTTATTTTAGCAATTCGATTGTATTTGTTTGATTTAAGCACTGGCGGATGTGATATGCGCGGTGAACTGTAAATTGGCAGGTGGAATCTTTTTGCACTGCATTCCCCGTCATCCTTCATACCCCTAAACTCTTACCTGAACGAAGGACCACCACAATTAGAAGCTTGTGGAACTTGTATGTAGCTGAAAGGTAATTAATTGGGAATTTTGTCATCGTCATTTAGAAATAGAGGCAATATAGTCAATACATGTAATTGAACCACTAAATTATTACAAGAAGTTAAATGACAAATCTCGAATGCTGTATGGATGCATTATTATTAATTAAATTCAGTAAGCACAAATTACGTAATTTAATGCAAGCATAATATGCCGTGATTAATTTTTATGGAATTGAGAATCAAAGTTTATGGCACGAACAAAATAAATAAAAACAATTGTCTGAGATTCTCAGTCGAATTGACACGCAGTGGTGAAAAAAAGAACACAGAAAGTACGGTAGAGTACGTTGGAATTTTCACGATACATGAAGGAAACATGTCGCTAGAATGATGGGCCGCACAGTCATTGTTTAAGCAGGAAACTCAAGTATTCTCAAATACAAGCACTCAACTCAGTACTCTTGTGCAATGTGCACGAATAAGATAAATTGCTGCACCAATAAATTAAGAGTTCATACACTCACATGTGATGCAATTAGTTCACAGTCCGGGCAGTTGTAATTAAAATGATTAGTTCGTTGTAAAACACATTGAACTATTGTAGTAGTAAATTAACAGTCTAACACACATGAATATTGCACACGTAGTGATATGAAGAAGGCACGAAATGCCTGCGAGGGAGCAAGACACACGGATGCAAAATGCTATTGTGATTGGGATGTGATGAGAGTGCGAGCTTTGCAAGACACATAAGTGAACGTGGCAAAGTATTTTCTCGAACGGATTGCAGACAGCGCGGCGCATGGCGGTGGGCTCCGCGCTTTCTGTTTGGAAATGGAAATGTTTGTTACTGTACATTGTAACTTAAGAACTAAAGTTATTGGTATTAATGGCTTATGGGGGTTTTAAGAATTTTTGACTGTGAAAATTACAACGCTAGTTTTAGGTTTAAAGTATTGAGGTGACAGTGTGGCGTAATGTGGCAGAAGCCGGTGCCTGACGCTGCCCCGCGACGAGAGCCGTTAGTTGTGAGAACGCGAGGCGAGGCTGGAATGCCAAGAACCATGTTTCTTGTGCGAGCTTGTTTGCAAAATGCAGTTGTGAAACGCTCTACAGAAATGGTTTGTACTGAAGCCTGGCTGCATTGATGTGCGTGTCGAAATAAATATAATTAATAGTATAAAAAGTTTGCATTGCCGAAAAAGTACATTTAATGTTGTAGGTTAACGGGAAGTAAAATTCCGAAGATTTTCGCTGTAAACAAGATGAACAATCAAATATTAATATTAAAATATTGCTTAAATTTTAACGACCCGAAGGAAGTATGAATGTCACCTATTACCTGTTTGGTTTATTTTTGGTATCAAATCTGTTTTATTTTTATTGCTGGGATATTTACTATTTTCTGTAGTGAGTGACTATTGATTTGTATCTGTGCTTCAAATTTTGATCGATATTTTCAATACAATGTTTGTTAAAATGTTTTGATCTATTAATGATAAAGTATAGTTTACTGATTGTATCAAATTTTCGATTTTAGGGTATACTTTGCTCACAAGGACTTTTTTAAATTTTCCTCAAAGTAGCTCTGAACTTTTCAATTTTATATTTCCTGCAGCAATGGACGTTTAAACAATTAAGTCTAATTTTCCTTGAACTCACTGATTTTTCGATGATTGTACAAGTTTAAAATTTGTTCGGCTTTTTTCTTAATGAAATCTGTTCTACGGAAGTAGATATTTAAGTAAGGGTCCTGTACCATGTTTCGAAGTATAGATTTACATATACATTTTTAAAATAAGAAATAATAATAAGAATTTATTAATTATTTTTGTTTCATGGAGTACTCTTTGATGTACATCAATTTACATTGTTTTCTGAAAAAACACTTCAAATTAATTTCATGGTCGATACATGACATCTCCTTGATCAACGTGATGGCAACTTTGCAACACCTGTTCATAAAGAGTAACGTAACATTCAGGGTCAAATATTACATGAAACTCTCTTTTATGAAATTGACCACTATCCTTTTATTGACAAAAGGTGATCATTTTCTACTCCTATACATATTCTAGAAGTTCGTAAAATTTATTACGAAACACTAGAATTGAAATATTTTATATGATGAGTTTTGTATCCACAAAAGTGTGTCGGTTTCTTCAGTTTTCTCCTATTCTGCCGTTATCTATAATATTAAGTCTACGCAACTTCTCTACGTGTAATTTTTATGTAGTTTACACCGCTCTTTTTCCCAATGTAGACTTCTTGGAAACTGTAATCCATGACATAGACATGCGGTAGTACAGTTTAAGACTAATTAATATTTCACATTAAAAATTACATTAAAAAATAGAACGAGAAGTATTAGTAGAACTATGTTTGTATCGGACGTTTTATATTTTATTCAGTAGCTCAAACGAAGTTATAGTTGCAAAACTATGTGATAATTAACATATTATGAAACTTACAATATTAAAAAATAAAAAGATAAATAGAATTAATGTTATTCTCAGTGTGAGAAAATTCACATAAAGAAACAAAACCAATGAAACAGTATCATTACGATCTTAATCATAACCTTAAGCTTGACACAACTTACAACTCAAAAATATACCTACGGTATTACAAAATACAGATAGATTTTTTTCAAAGACAAAATTTCAGAAAGAAAGAACAATACATAAGTACTAAGTGTTATGTGACGTTAAAAGTAACCATAATTTCATGAGTGTGTATTATTGTTTAGTTGTTGAGTAGTAGTTGTTGAGTGTGTATTAAAATATTTAGGTTTATTTTACATGATAAACTAGGGATATTTGCTATTCTGTTCTATCTTTCTTAATTTTGGAAATATTCCTGTATGCTGAATTACTGCGCAGACTCCTCATCACAAGTTCCCAAATTGTAAGACACAAATACCCCCCCACACACACACACACACACATATGCGCGCAGATACAGAAAATATTCTATTTGTCTACTTATGCAGTGGACATTATGTACACACCATTTATATGTAGATGTAGAGTATGTAATTTCATCTGTGGACGCATTCCACTTGTTTTATATACCTGGAAGTTCATACATTATTTGACAGGTCTATAATGGCCCGAGTAGTGTTAAAGGAGAAGGGTACTAACATATTTAAGAGATGAATTTGTATGAAACGAATGAATTGACAAAGTGCATTTTTTGTTCTTTTGCAGAAAGTGGTTCGCGAGATGAACAGACTGGGCATGATGGTTGATCTCTCCCACGCTTCCGTGCAGACCATGAAAGACGTAATGCAAGTCAGCAAGGCCCCGATCATCTTCTCACATTCCTCGGCCTTTGCCTTGTGCAATTCTTCACGCAACGTTCCGGATGATGTGCTCAAACTCGTGGTACGTTTCCTTTCTTGTTTTCAAGATTTTCATTTGTTTCTGTAAAAAATAATTTCAAGAGATTGTTTTACTGCGTTTAATAAAATTAGTATTGATTTGTTCTTTTAATCAACTACTGTATTGTATGTCAATGTATTGTGACCAAAATGAAGATGATGCAACAACATCTTTAAGAAAAGAAAAAAAATGGCAATTTCCTTCTCTAAAATCATGTTGTGAGTCTAAAAACGCTTCGTTTTTCCTGAGATAAGTTTCCATTCGCATATAGAAAAGCCTCTTTAATATTTTTCAGAAAACTGAGAAAAGAGAAATGGGAAGGTCAATATGAATTTAATTTTTCTCCCTTATTTAAAAAGTGGCCTAATTTGTGCTGTTTTGAAAATATCTATAAATATTCCTGTGCATAAAGAAGCATTGAAAATGTGAGTTAACGGGTATATAAAGGCAGGTACACAAATTTTCAATAAACAGACCGGAAATTCATCTAAACCAAATGAATATTTATTTTTTAGTTTACTGACTACTCTCGAAACTTCATTAGAAGAAGTTACGGAAACAAACATCGTGTCGAAACTTTTTTGGGAAGAGAATGATGTTGAATTTTGTGCTTTTAGTCCCTTCATGAGTTCAGTCGCAATTCTACTCGTAGAAAAGTGTTGATTGTAGAGATATGTCACTTTTTTTCTGATTACTTGCTTTTCTTTCATTATCCTTTAAAACAACATTCTCTACTATGTATCGAGATGTCGTATTTTTTACAATATTCCACATTGCTTTAGTTTTTTAATTATTTAGAAATTAGTTTTTCTACTCCTATTGTGTACTTCAGTCATTTGATAGGTGCAACCCCTTGCATAATGAAATTTCTTTAAAGATACTCATTACGATTCGGATGTAATGATGCAGTTTCTTGACCTACCAGAGAGAAACGTATAAATTAGGTATTGACACTTAATCATTGAGAATCGTTCGTTAGATTGTGTACATTAAAATTGCATGTAATAATTTAGTATGCTCGTCAATTGTATTTTTTAGTATAAATATTTTTACGTGGAATATTATTTAAAATTGCACTGTAGTTTGAATTTGATTCGCGCAATGGTAGTTATTGGAGGAAACATTTGACTGACATTACGATCAGAATGCAAGTAATTTTGTGTTATGTTGGGCCGTCCTTACAAACCGGACAATTCTTCACTTTAAAATGGCTAGTAAATCAGAGATGTAATTGACACCTTCAGAAATAAGAAGAAAACCGGAAACAAGATTAAATAAATGTTATCCTAGCCCTTACGTGCACGCACATGGACCACACTACCACATATGCTGGGACACCATTCGGGAGATTAGAGCTTCTTGCACGGGAGATTAAGAGTTCCTGATGAGGTGGTGCCCCGCTGGTGGGAGATACCTGGTGGTTGGAAAGAATCCGCTAGCCGACGTGTAGATCGGCGCTGGATCTCTCAAACCACCAGGGGAAAACCACTGATACGATAAAACATTTCCCAACCTTAAGAGACTAATGACGCACGTGTAAAATTAATCAATCAATCAGTCAATCTAGCAGCGAGACCTGCCATATGCATTTTCAATATGATTTTACTATCTGCCGATGTATATAACAATAATTGTGCAACGGAACACATTGTTAATGTTGAACTAGTTTTTCAAAAAATGGACGTGACCATATGTCCTCGCAAAAAGGGCCACAAGTACAGAAAATTCTTAAAATATAAATGAAATGCTAAAACTTTTTAAACACAAACTTGCAGAAAATGATTGTGATACGTTGCTAAATGCATGTAGGGTTATTTCCAGCAATACAGAAAATGTCCTTTTCATTATTTTGGATATTATTTATGAGTCCACCAATAAATCCCCCCTCCGCCCATTTGGTCCGCATATCGGTAAGCCGTTGGTATACGACTGTTCCTCTGATTTGCTTTGAGTGGACATTTTGTAAGAAGTCTTAGTTGCCTCGCACATAAAAAATAATAATGAAAATAATTACAAATAGTATCATATCTTAATACTCGTATTCACGGATGCACATAGATTTCATAATTATATTCCTCTGCTATTTTTTTTCTTTTTAAAGTTCACTAATAAGTACTTATGTTGTTTAAAGACGTCCTTATTTTTGTTTCTTTCCGATGTTCTTTAAAACCTACCTTTGTATTTCAGGCCTTAAACGGAGGAATAGTAATGGTGAACTTTTACACCTATTTCATCACCTGCAATGCCACAGCTACCATCGCGGACGTTATTGGTAAGTAACTCGTCCGTTGTGTGCTTAAACACTGAGTGATGCGCTGAAATAATTAACTTTGGATTCGATCGCAAAATTGTGAAAATGCATTGTGTCATTTGACCTTACAAAACCTTATTATAAAAGTTCACCTTGTTATAAAAATTGTAATAACAATCAACATTAATATTTTCATGCATGTTTGTTCCATGCCTCTTAATGTCATGTAATTGAATATTTGGATAAACTTTTCTAGAGGCATATGCATGTTTGTGTTATGCACAGTGTAAACTATATTTTTTTTGATATTACTCCTATAATGATCAGGTAGGTGTAAAAAATATTGTAAGAACCATTTCAGCTATATATGGAAGATTTATGACATGTTACACCAAGTCTACGCAACGGTTCTTAATTTACTTGTTGAAAGTTGCGTGGTGTGCAAGGTAAGGCATTTTCTATGGTGTGTACACTCTCAAATCCGAAATCTATTATGTGTTTTAAACCAATGAACGTCAAATTTTCTTCATTAGCAAAAGGGGTGCACGTTGAAATGCCAATAATTACAGGTAAAGTGAACGTGTGATCACAGACGTCTGTGTCCTGCTATGAAATACTGAGAAAATACCTGGATATTTCACAGACGTGTTTTGCATTCTTTTTGCTTTGGAAGATCAAGTATCAATAGTCTTCTGTGTTGGAAAAAAATTCTGCCATGATGCATCACATTGTTAGATGATGAATCTGTCTTATTATAGTGGGCGCAAACGAAGATAATATATTTTATCATGTTATTTAGGACACTTTTAAATCGACATTCTAATTAATACCGAAAGAGAAGAAAATTCTTGGCTTTTTGCAGAAAGCTAGTAACACTGTCGCAGTGCTCTTTCTTTTTCGCTGCGAGCTCTGTGCATCCGACATCGATAATAGATCAGATGTTTCTGCCTACAGCCCACATCAACCACATTCGAGATGTCGCTGGAATTGACCACGTGGGGCTTGGAGCTGGATACGATGGCATAAATTTGTGAGTACAATAAATAGGACTGATTTCACAATGACCTAGCTTGCTTGATTACGTTTTTTTGTTTTAAAGGTAAAATGGATTTGCAGTGTTAAGAAGATGTTGAAAAATAGCACTCTGAATTTTTTATTGACCTTTTTTCGCCTGTAGCCCCTCATCATACTGCACCAAAGTAGCTAGACAAGCAAAGAAAGTATCTCAGTTGGCCACATTTTCTCTTATGAACTTTAGTAAAATATTAATATTATCATAGTTTGCCAAAAAACTATAGAAGATAGTTTTCCCTTTGTGACTCATGCATTGTTCCTCACTTTTTAAACCATATGTAAAATTGTTTATGATTAGTTTAAAACATTATATTATATTTAGCTGCAAGCCTCGGATTTTTAGGTAATAAAAATTTGAGACTATTCATTTACCAAATAATTTTCTTATAATTTATAAAATGAGTTAAGGTAATTGCAGGATTTCAAACGATGTTTCTTCTTCAAATTTGCATTTTCATGCAATTAAATTTCATAACATGTGTTACTACAGATACTTTTGTCTGTATGAACTAAATGACAAGTATTGGGTAAAGGTTCGTTCGAATCCACTTGCATGCTGAAAAATGTCTCTTCATATTATACAACGTAAAAAGTACAATCGTAATTTCAGTTAAAGCAAGCGCTGCCATATCCCATATATCTCGTGTATCTTCTGACCTTGAAGGGCATGATCCAACGAGAGATTTTTTCATTCCGCGGTATTCAGTTTCGAACAGTAAGTAACAGATATTTTAGCTTCTTTGTAAAAAATAAGGAGCTTTTAACAAAACAACTTTAGCATTTAGCAACAGTACATAGCAAAACAAATTCGCCATCTAAAAATATTATCCTAAGAATCCGAGGTTTATAACAGTGGCGGCTCTTGAAAAATGTTGAGGGTAGGCAAGGCAGGTTACAATACACTGAACGACTGCATAGCCGTTTCGTGGCTTCCATACAGCAGATAAATTATGATGATGGCTAAGCCATTAAAAGCTGCTCTTATAATAACAAAATGTTGTTGTCAATGATGACTCATAATTATATCATATTTATCATAATTATAACAAATGCCAAATTTCTTGAGAAAATTTTTGAGAGGCGATTCGAACTGTAATTATCTTACTTCTGAAATTCTTTCTGGGTTCTTGATAGACCGGGCTTGTATTTAAAAACGTTTGAACGGTAAATATTTTTTGTACCGCAAATATGAAATGCTAATTTTGTATTTCCGGATGAAAAATACTCAGAAAAACTATATTAGAGTACTGTAATGTATGAGAAACTGTAAAATGTTTATCTTTTGTTGAAATGTGTTTAACTATTATTAGTACATGTGTACCAACACTAAGCACTGACTACATTGCCTACCCTAAGGAGCCGCCACCGTCTTTTAATAACTGATGTAGGCACTACATAGGTAGAATAATTTTACTAGATGAGCTTAATTTGCTTGTAACCTAGCGTTTTTGTATAATTTGGTACATTTAATGTGGTATCATTATTTTAGAGGCATAGCACTTACCTTAGAATAGTACACTAAAGAATGTTAAACAATTAGTTAAGTAGATTTGTTTCTCATGTATATTGAATGACGTAAATATTGTGTGATGAAATTAATATTTTGCAGTTTATTAGTGCATCTTTATTCTTATAAAAATATTTTGATTTATAAGTAATTTACTTGTAACTAAATAACATTTTTTGTATCTCACTTCTACCTTCCCCACGTTTGAAAAAATTCGTAACATGTACACTTAACACATACGTACGTTCGTAACTACTATATTATCGATATTATGATATAAATTATGTATGTTTTAATTATTTAAGTTTTTAAATAATAGTCTCTATAAATATTAAATTTAAAGTATGAAAGTCGTCACTCTGTATTGTTTACTTAAAAAGACTTTGGAGATCTAATAATGGACTCTTAGGTATAGTTTCAACACTTCTTTGAAATTAAATTTCTAGGTCAGCATTTTTTGACATTTCACCTTAAGGTTGACCTTATCCCATGGGATATTGCTTCCTAAATTTTACATGGAATGTGGAAGCATCACTTGAGAAATCTAGGAGATGCGTCTGTCCTCCCTGAACTTGAGTACATAAGTCATATTTGGAGCTCAGTCGATTCGGATAGCCGAGATCGCTAAGGCAGTGGTGTCGTGCCGACCTCGGATCGCTGGATCGCGTTCTCGAATCCCGCCTCGGGCATGGATGTATTAGTGATCGCCCCTTCACCCATCATCATCATCATCCTATCACTTCATTAAAGAACAATTAATTATTCCCTACGCGAGCAGGACGCCCTTGCCCATAACGGGGGGTGAGGTTGGCTAATAAAAAAAACATTTGGAGCTCGGGCGTTCGCCCACCGAAGATTGTGGTCCCAGTCTCCGTGAATGTCGTTCCCTGTCATTTATCTGGACCAAACGCGCAACGAGTCGTAGGGATGGGGCAGCGCCCAATCGCATTTGAGCTGTCGTCAAGGGAATCTTGCGGTCTTCGCCTAACGCAGTCTCCTAGAATTGCATTAGTGGTGAGTCGGAGCGTAGGGCGCAGCGCGGCGCGGCGAAGGCGGTAGCGTCGCGGTTCCCGCGCTGATCTCCCTTGTTCCCCGGAATCCAGGTGTGGGCGTATTCACTGGGCAGAGAGAGGTTAACTGGTAATGGAAGTTAACCGAGCGCCTTTACCTAAACGGTTCTCGTAGGTAAATTGTGTAAATTTGTACTAGTAGAATTAGGGAAGCTCCATTGCACTGTTACCTCTCCGGATGTTGTTGCCGATTATGGTGCCTTTAAATTCGATTAAGGTGGGTGTATTTTTCTCACTAAAATAATTTAAATTTACATGTCAACAAAATAAAAAAATATCTTAACTGTGTACAAGAAATCAGGAACTTTTTGGTATTTGTTAACTATTTCGTTTGCACAGCATATGATGCGACTGAGAAAAAGCTATTGGGTTTAGGTGGAAAGAGGCCCAGTTAACTCCCCAGAAATCGTATTGTACATAATATCTTGATTTTCTAATTAAGAGTTCAAGATGCCGATAGTGAGAGCTACAGCAACCATCTACAGGTATTATACATTGGAGCGTGGCTGAGATAGCTCTGTAACAACAACTGTTGCAGCTGCAACGTTTCTGACCGGAAGGTTCTAGGGTCCGAGGTTTGAAGGGGGTGGCGGAATTTCGACACTAGATATAGTGCTAGCTCGAATTCAGCCACAGTCTGGGCGAGAATTCTAAAGATGGGCAACTGGGCATTTTTGCGTGATTTCTCCGATCAATGGATCTGGAGAATGCGCACACTCCTCTGGATCTTCCACTTTCCAATGCGACAAGGAAACATCTTACAGAAAAAACCTCATTCCGAAAACTGCGGGACACAGGTATCGTAACAGAAACAGAATCTGAAAATCCGCTGCATCTACAGCGATCTGTGACTGAAAGTTCCTAGGGTTCGAATTCTGACGGTGGCGTATGAACGACACTCGCTACAGAGCTCAGTCGTTATCTGGAGGGGAATTCTAGCGGCCGGCTGCGCTGATGAATGATTTTCAATGGTTTCTCCGATAAAGGCCAAGTGAATGCCAAAGCAGTACCGTAAGAACCGGGTCACTGATCGTGCGAGATCTCTCTTTCCTCTCCCTCTTCTGTTTTTCGTCCTGTCATCTCCTCTTATTTAAACGTATTTAAACTTACATACAGTACTCCACCATACATATCTGGAGAGCTGTCGAGAGTTTAGAGCCTTTGCTGGGATGGTGATCCGCCGGGGAGATATCTGGAAGGGAAATCTCCCGTAAACAAACGTGTAGGTTGGTATTTTATCTTATCATTCTGGGGAAAGGAACACCACCGCCTCCCGGGATAAACCATCCATTACACTAACGGGACATCTTACAGAAATAGCAGTTGACGTGCCCGAAAACATCAATCAATTCAAAATGCAAATCGCTCACTTGA